TTTTTTTTTCTTTTTTTTTTTTCTTTTTTTTTTCAGAATGAAAAGTTCTGAAAAAATTTGATTTGGAAATGTCAAACCAAACATTTCAACATTCCCAAACTAAAATATTTGTAGATCAGAAATGAAACAATTTGTTTCAATTCTTCCAACTGGAAATTCCACCAAACTCAGTCTTTTTTCTCAGAAAATTTTGATCGCAACCAAATACCTCTTAAAAAACAAAAAACAAAACAGGACAATGTTTTGTTTAAAATTTTTCAACCAGACCTACAAAACAGACATATGATAAGACTTCAAGCACTGTGGGAAGTCAGAATATCTTCTCTTTCGACAGAGTTTGTGATGATGCACATCACAGTTTTTCACTCACCTCTGCTTTTTAACAGGAAACTTTCATGTATTACATCTGTCATTCCCTCCATAAACCCACCCACATCAATTCTGGACATGATACCAATTCTATACTCACTCCTCATACCCAGCTGATACAAGAATCTGGGGCAGATTAATAGCAGAAGGATATTACACATGGAATCTTAGGCATTCTAGCTAGGGAGACAGCACAAATAAATGGCTTCCCAAGAGACTCTAAATCTGCTTGAACAAGGCCTGCAACCAATGGCAACCTCAAATCTGTAGATACAGTCTTCCAAGCAGCCTATCTACTCTATTCCACCAACCAATGATTGTGTTATATCTCCTATTCTGAAAAATAAACAAACTTCCATAAAGCTCAGAGAATTGATCATCTTCACATTTTTCTTCCTTGATAATATTATAAATCAATCAAAATCCACAAAGTAGTCCAGATGGATTAGGTTCCTGGCAAATAACTCTTGCAGCCTGTTAGCCTGGAGAACACTCTGGTTAATATTTCTGCAACAGGTAGAAGGAATGCTGGTGAAAACAACTTCTCAGAGATGCAAATGTGCACACACATTCACAACAGGTAACTCAAAGCACAATTCAGACTTTAATGTACGTCTGTTAATTTTGTGCTTATTTCACATCAAGAGCTAAAATGAATTGGGTAATTAAATTATATATGTTTTAGTGATTTTCTGCATCTTTCAGATACACATTCCTCCTGGCTCTTCCTCTGTTCCTAGTGGGGGAAAACATCCTTGACAATAACCTGGTGAAAAATACTCTTTATCTGTCCTTGGTATATATTAGTTAATTATCCATTTCAAATATCTAGATGGGGAAAGCATCAAACATAGTAGTACCACATGTGGCTAAGTAGAAACATGCAGTACTATGACAGTTGCTTTAGCTAGATCTACTGGGTTTGATTCTGGCATCACGCCATTTTACACCAGAACAAATTCCATTGATTTCACTTCAGATTTGTACAGTGAGAGCAGAATCAAATGCAGTGGGTGTGGCTCCATGTGTGTTAGTACAGCAAGTTTGGAACCAACAATGAACTGATGCCCATTGCAATGAACTATGGGATCTGAGAGAATGTTTCAGCTTGGACCTTTTTAACAGCTACAAACATGTTTTTAAAGCTGAGCACCATTACTCTTATACTTTACTTAAAATTGTACTGGGAAAAACAACAGTTTTGTTGGCAGTGTTAACAGTCAGTTTTATTTCTTATTCTTAATTCTGTTCGGTTTATGTAGGGGTTGATGTGAAATTATAGTTCAGTCCAACACTAAACATTCATATTGATTACCTAGTTCCCTGACCTTCTTAAACAAAAACAGAGGGGGCAGGAAATTGGAAATAAAGTGGCGTTTCTCCACCTTACGTCTTTTATTGAATACAGAGTAAAAAAACCTGTTTAATGCACCAGTAGCACACTAACCCAGTTTGCTTCAACAAATGCAGTGGGGAAGTTCAGTACATTTGATCATATAGAAATAAAAAGGTAGCATCCCTCAGAAGTACACAGAAAAAAGCCCAGGTTAGCTTTCGCTACAGTACATTTCCATTGCATTAATTTCTTGAGTCATACTTTTTCTCCCTACATTTGTTTCTGTTTCAATACAGCACATTCTCACCAAATATCTAAAGATGGCCAATTCTTTTGCATTTCATTTGGGGTCCACTTTTTCCTCATACCTCTGCTGTTCATGGCCATTGGCAAACATTCCCTTTAGCTACAGAAAATGTGAATGGATGTTACACCAGAGTCAAACAGAAAGTATCTCAAAGACTGATTAAATCTGATCTACCATTGTGTCACCACAACTACAATCACTTTTGCTTTGTGCCTGGTATCCCAGGGATTTCATTCAATAATGAGTTCAACGAATGGTCTCTGTAACATGACTTGTCTCTAGCAAGGCTATCAATGAATACTGAATATTACAGCTAGGTGAAAAGGAAGGGAATACTTTTTACACAGACACACTTCTGATCTAAATTTGAACAGGGCTGAGGGTAGGACCTTTGAAGAGACGTGGTTAAGGCTACTCCTTAGTGACACTATGCTTTACACCTTGATCAGATCCCACGATGGAATGCCCACATTGTTTGGGAGAGCTGATCGTGTGCAAGATTGCCTGTAACAGATTGATTTAACACCGAGGGCAGGAAAGTCTGACTTATTGATTTGCTCCTTTTTGTAAGGTCTGAGGCCAGATAGGATGGTTTTTCCTAGCACTGTTTGGTTTCAGGTAGATGGATGTGCTATAAGAAAAAGAATCCAACATCTTCTCAGCTAGCTCTATGTAAAGACACAAACTAATGACTAAGAAAAGCTATAAACAGAAAATGTGAAGAATTCTCAGAACCAAAAGATTTCTTCAATATGACGTACCTCCTCACCCTACTGTTTATATCTCTTATTAGGAGATTTTTTTTCTTTATTCCTACAAAATTAATTCAGTGGTACAGCTCAGAATACCTGCTGTTTGCTTTGCCCAAAAGTTCCTGAATGCTTTTTTTGTAAGCTGTTCCATCGAAAAACAAAAAAAACCCAGGCGCGGACACACAAAGAACAACCCACAAAAAAATCTTCTTTCATATCCATAAAGCCTCTCCCCATATCCTCATCCAAATGCATCTGACATCCTTGTCATGATGC